GAGCTGCAATCATCTGTTCAGAAGGAGACCAACTACGACATCTTCTGCATTGAGTCACAAAACCGTAAGTCAGCAAATGGACTTTTATGGAGTGTCAGAGTAAACGCTTCAAGAAACCATTAAGTTTGGTAAAGTTAAAAAAGGCAAATTTAACAGTGTGTTATTTACAATATTATGTATAACAGCTTCCTGAATGACTATTTTGGACTACAAAGCTCATCTCAGCTAGTTTCTTTTTACCTGCAGGAGTTGATGGACTGTCATATCCCTCTCCCGCTCTGCCAACTGACAGCAACTTTGTGTTGCTCTTTAAACAATTCACCAACTATATGTTCGGTTTAGAGAAAGTTAACCAGGCGCCCTCTCTAAAGCTCCAGACCTCGGGTGGATACCAGGTGAGGAGTAACTGCTTATAGCTCATGTAGCATCAGTAAGTGTACGTTTGTCCACATCCAATCAGTCAGTGATTTTTTTTATTCTTAGATAGTCCATGAGTACTTTAACATATGAAGGTATGTTTAGTCCAGAACATGTGAGGAACTTGAACACTCAGTGCACGCCTTCATAGGTGAGTCTGAACATTTTCCTGCTTTGGCTTCTCAGTACGGGGATGTGATTGTGACGGCAGGGGCGGCTGAACAGAGAGAGATCTTGCAGCTGCCAGCTCGCGGTGTCACTGCTGATTGTGTGGATAACAGTCCTGCAGGTAATGCCTTTGTACTTGTAAATAATAGAAATTAAAATGTATTCATTATTATGACATCATCACTTTTAACTACGAGTAGCGGTGTTTCCACTGACCGCTGTAGATTTACCCGGACACTTGAAAAGAGAGGGGGAATTAGTTTTTTCTGCAGCCTGTAAACTCACCACTTGATGTCACTCAATCCTATCCAGAGTCCTTTAATGTTGTAAACATTTGCAATTTGCAAACTACTCCCCATGTGGTGGTGAAACTGAAGCAAACTGGAAATGGAGGCTGTTTGCCTTCAAAATAAAAAGTTGGGGAGACCAAAACAAAATCTGTCTGGATGTCTGTGGTGATGTTGACTGACCAAGTGTAAAGAATGAAATGAGGCAAAATTATCAACCTAGAGAATTCAAAGACAACCCAAAATCAAAGTGAAAAAGTAATGTGGCAAAAATTTCATTGCAGCATTTAAGAATATTACTCAGAAGCTGGCATCGCCCGCATGTGTTTGTATGCATGCCTGACAACGTCAGGCGTGCTTGTAATGAAACAGTGGTTGGTGTCGTAGGGGATCTCCTTCCAGATCTTAACCTGGGCCTCACTGAGCTCCTGCACAGTCTGAGGTAAAACCTGGCCGTATGGGATGGACTGAAACATGAAGTAAAAAACAGGACTTACTGCATCAGCATTGGGTGTGACGGTGGGTCCAAAGATTTCATCCTGGATTAAATCTTTCTCTGCAATCAGGACGCCCTTGCCTCGCCTGTAGAGGTCTGTGCATCAATCCATTGACGTGCCTATGCAGACCATCACTGACCCACCACCAAACCAGTCGTGCTGAACGATGTTACAGGCAGTATAATGTTCTCCAAAGCTTCTTTCATATCTATCACATGTGCCCAGCATAAACCTGTTCTACTGTGTGTAAAGCACTGGGCACCAGTGGTAGACCTGCCAATTCTGGTATTCTATGGCAACTCCCAGTCAGGATACAAGGCAGTGAGTGCAGATCCACTAGAGGCCGCCGGAGACACAAAAAACCTTCTGGCAATGGCTCATATTGAGCTGGACTACTTGGGCAACCTCTGCAAGGTCCAGCCTGGTGTTATCAGCAGTGAGAATGACTGTAGTCCAATGCAGGACTAGTGAAAGAACAGTCACAGAACATGAGAAGGGAAAAACTGCCAGAGGCCTCCACATAAAAAACCCACACCTGTTTTGTCTCATTGTTGTCTTTAAGTGCACCTGTAATTTCATTAACAGCAACTCTCTGCTCCTTAACTGGACAGATCAGTGTCCCATCTGGTTTAATTGACTAGATGCCACAATCTGCTTAAATCTACTTTCATTTTTCGGAGCATTGTGATATTTAACCGCTCCCTTGTCATAAGGCGTCACCACAGTGGGTAGCTCTGCATGGTTTTCATTTGGCAGAGATGCAACCTCAAACGGGATTTGTGTCTCTGGCTGAAAAATGTGTTAACCACGACACTATGTAGCCATTCTCTTTCTGTATCAGTCTTTACTTAGAGTTTGCATATTTACTGTCACTTTCTTATTGAACAGCAGTTTCTTTGTTGACATCTTGTAAATCTTTATGAAAAGGATGAGAGGCTTTTTCATCAGCATGAACGATGTTGTTTTAGCTTTCCTGGTTTGTTTGCAGCTTTCCTGAAGGATCAAAGCAGTCGGTGCTCCCGTCGCGTGGTCCTGGATCAGGACTGCGGCCGTCTGCCAGCCCTCAGCATGGACAGCTACACCGACACCCAGCTGTTTAGTGTGAGTCTCACATTTACTGAGCTACACACTGGTTGGCTCTTAAAAATCCACTCTTTAATGCAGTGTATTGTTGAAGTGAAGTTCACTATAAGCCCAGGAATTATAATGTCATTGAATTTGAATTGCAACTAATGAACAGCATGCACACCTGTTTTGTGTCCCTTAACTATATATAGTTTGAATATAGATCATTAATTAAAAGGTTTAAAGTGAAATGTTTTGTGCTTGACAGGATATGAGCACAGATGCAGCTGTAAGTATCCTGACCTTTCTCTATTTAACTCTGAAACAGTTAGTATGTTTATCAGAGTTAAACATACTAACGAATTTATCAGTTAACTGATAAGTTGAAAAAAATCCAAGTTAACAAGATGAGATAAAAACAGTGTAGATGTTATAAACAGTTAATCTGACAAAACAGAACCTGTATACATTAGCTTTGTGCATTTGTAATAATTTTCTCAGAGATATTTTTATTAAATGGAAGCAACGAAAAAAAAAGAGATACACACAGAATTCCCATATGGAAAAGATTTATATAAATCTTATAAAGTTTGTATCTGTCTTGTGTGAAACTTGTATGAAAAGCACACAAGAGTGAAAACACATATATGATCCCTTAACAAATTATATAATGAAACTTGTATGTTTTGGATACTTACTAAAACAATATATGAAAGTAATGAGAAAGTGGCCACTTTGACACATTCACGTATCTTTTACTTGCTTGTGTCAGTGGCTCTGAGTTTTAAACATTTGTGTTTGTGTACATATGTATTTGCAAGATTAGTTGATTAAGCAAACAAAGTCGTTTTTAGCTGTAGAAAGATTCTCTGTGATATGAAGATTCCTTTATACTTTTTGATGCTACCATTGCACCTCATTTCCAGCCGTTTCCATTAAAGCTACAGTCATGGTATAAAATATACCCTATGCAACTTCTAAGACTAGAGATTGACTTTATAAAAAACTTTACCAAGTTTAAAATGAGGTAAATACAATATAAGATGAATTTAGCAAAAACTGAAAAATAATACATTTCATTTCATGATCTGAAACATGTGACAAATAATAAATATAACAATTTTTTTCATAGCCCTGCAGCTCTTGAATTTCTGTGAGCATTGCAGGTTCTGACCTTGGGGTGAATTTGTTGGGGCATCCAGTATCTTGAAGGTTTCCTCCTGTGAGAAATATTTCAATTTTCGATTGTTTTGCCTTCATAACACGTCCCAGAATGATTTTTTTCTCCTTATCATCGCGTTAACAATCAGCTTAATCCTCTGGACGAGCAAAATGTCTTCATTTTTGTTAAATACATAATCAATACGGTATAATTTATTTATTTTAACCATGACTGTACACCGCTAAATTTGGTTTTGATGCCCACTAACATCCTTTAATGCACCAACTCAGTCATATTAATATAAAACCTGGCTCAGATAAACTCATGGTGGTATGTAATGCATAAAATAACCAGGTGATCAAATCTATGTTCAGAATCTTGCCAAACACCTTTAGGTAGACCAGGACATTTAGTAAGACACAGACAGCTGACAGCTTCTCCTGATTGTGTCTCCTTTGATGTTGCTACATGTTGTAAGTTGCACAACACGCACAAACAAACTTGAGGTTAAATGCTGCAACGCAGTAACAGGAACAGTGGCACAACTTTCTGCTCAGTTCCTAAAGAGCAACTAGCAATCACTTATTTTCACATTAACATTGAGAAAACAGTTGTGTTTTAGATTTTACTATTTACTGAGCAGTATTTGCAGCATGGTGTGCTGTTTACAAATGTTATGATGTTAGACAGCCGCTGGCACATTCTGTATTGTAGTGCAGTAGTTTTAATGTGTCAGAAGTTCAGAAACACAGTTATAAAAAGTGTGAACAAACTGAGATGAGTCCCTGCTGTTGCTGGAGGTTGTTCCTGTGGTGGTGTCTTCAGTCATCCTACAGTCTGCAGATCACACTCAGACTGAGCTGAAGATCACAGGTGGAGAAAACGTCAGTCCTGTTCTCATCAACCCCACCCTCTGTGGAAATGTGGTGCTGAAGGTGAGTCACACACACTGGAGTTTATATACATACATATTTGACATCCATTAGCATACAATGTTGATTGAGTTACATAACATAGTATAATAAATATAGCATAAATATATTATACAGGGATACATCCTGTAATGTTGTTAATTCGTGACATTTAGTTTGTTTTTTAATTAGACCTGTTGTTCCACTGAGTCATCCACTCCTGTAGAAAATATCACACCTGTCTGTGTTGACGTCTTTGCTGTGCTCTCCACAAACACAGAAGATTTTTTTTCTGAAAAGTAAAGTCTACAGGTGTGACCACGTTACACTCCGGTTTAAAATTGTGTGCAATAGTCAGAAATATCCTCTTCCTGTTTTCTCTTTTCTGGATGATGATTATCACGAGTCCGTGTAGCCTCGCCTCTGTCAGTGCGCCCCAGGGTGGCTGTGGCTACAATGTAGCTGCCATCAGCATTGTGTGGATGGGTGTGTGAATGGGTGGATGACTGGTTGTGTAAAGCGCTTTGGGGTCCTTAGGGACTAGTGAAGCGCTATACAAATACAGGCCATTTACTCCACACGAACACACAGGCACGCAGGCATTTCAGAGAGATGCAAAAGTCTGGACACACCCAGACATGCCTGTGTTGTCAGTTATATTTGGAGGTGGGACGTGAAAGTACATTGAGGCAATTCATCCACCTTGAATTGTCAGTGCCAATGTTAGCTAATATATGACACAAAATCATATTTAAAAAAAACAAAAACAAGAACAAGTCTAATTGCCACTGTCATATAAATCAGTATCCTCAGTTTATCCACAGATGTTATTTAAGGGAAAGTGATGGCACTCTAAGAATCCTGCATAGACGTCTCTGGGACAATGGTGCTGTCTCATAGCTGTCCCCAAAAACACAATCAGCTTTCCAAAAGGGAAACATCT